GGTAGCATGGCATTCTCACCTGTTTTCGCTGATTCTCAGCAAGTGCTGCTTGCTCTCTCAGTGAGTGAAGTCGATTCAGCAATTCCTGTTTGCCCTCCAGAGCATCATCCAAGTTTTGCTCTAGAATATCTTTCTGCACCTGGGGAGGTAAGGCAGGCTCATTAGAGAAGATTTTTCAACCCAACCCCTGTCCCACGCCACACCTAGAGACAGATAGGGGTACCCTTATGGAAGAGAGTCTCAAGCTGTGCTATTGCCACCTAACCAGTGGTGGGTTCCTACCAGTTCAGACTGGTTCAGCCAAACCAGTAGTGGTTTGCTGGAACCGGCAGTGACCCAGGCCTGCCAGGCCCCCGAACTGGTTTTCCAGGTGGTGCCGTAGGTGCCACCATCTTGTTTTTTTCTTCTGCGCATGCACAGAACAATTATTATTGTACTAGCATGCCACGCCCACCAAGCACATGCACAAAGCGCCCACAAGCGAACCAGCAGTAGTGACTGACGGAACCCTCCACTGCATCTAACTGCAGCCTGAAAAAGAACATTGTGCACTTGTAGGAGACTTACACAAAGGCATGCTAAATCTTGATTAAACGGGCTTCACCCCATTGTGCAAAAGTCTTTGGCTTCCTTTGCAAGAAGCTGCCCTTGGCCAAGCAAGCTTTGGACATGCTACCTCCTGCAAACTCATATGGTTTTCTTCACAAGGTACCTCCCCTCATTTGCCCCAAAGAAGCCTGAAATTGAATTCTGGTGAAATTATTAATAATTATGTGTTACGGATCTCTTATCCTCCCTATTATTCCTAGGATCATTAGGAAAGGATGAATAGGAGCACAGCTGACAGCTTCTTTTACCACACTGAAGGTTTCCAGCTCCAAGAGTGACTTGAGATGCTGGTTCTCTTCTGTCAGCTTTAAGAGCTCATCTGTCTGCATCTGCGTATCCCCAGAAGTTCTTGAGGGACTTTTCCTTTGATGGCACGGTGACACTTGGGCTCTCTGCAGTTCTTGCTTCATCAGGTAGAGCTGCCATGGACAGGTACACAGAAAGAAAGAAAGAAGCTGTGAACAAGGTAAGCAGAACTGGAAAAAAAATAACAGGTAATCCTCAACGTACAACTGCAATTGAGCTCTAAATTTCTGTTGCTAAGTGAGATATTTGTTAAATGACTTTTGTCCCATTTTACCACTTTTCTTGCCACAGTTGTTAAGTGAATCACTGTAGTTGTTACGTTAGTAACACTGTCATTAAGTGAATCTGATTTTCCTATTGATTCTGCTTGTCAGAAGGTTGTAAAAAGTGATTATATGACCCCAGGACACTGTAACCGTCATAAACATGAACCAGTTGCCAGTATCCAAATTTTGATCACGTGACTATGAGGATGCTACAACAGTCATAAGTGCAAAAAGTGGTCATAAGTCACTTTTTTTCTGTGCCGTCGTAACTTTGAAGTCACTAAATGAACTGCTGTAAATTGAGAACTACCTGTATTATTTGTGCAGTTCCTGCCACATCAGTCCTGAGCTTCTTTCTTTAAGAATGTATTTATTAGCTTTTATCCCGCTTTATTATTTTATAGGTAACTCAAAGCAGCAAACATACCTAATAATTCTACTTCCTCCTGTTTTCCACATCCTCAGTTTTGTGGCAGATCCCATTACTAAGTGCTAAATGGAAGCTGTCTACAGCCCAAGGGTACGGATAGCCCCGCGAACACAGTTAAATTGCACTAAAGATCTGATTGATTGCAGCACAAGAGGAAAAGGGGGAGAAAAAGCAAATGCTAGAGAAATCATAATAGCCAATTATTCTTCTATTTTCTTGAACTTATCTCACAACCAATAATACCCCAAGACTCAGCTGTAATGAACAACCCTCCCCACTCTGATTTTCAGGCATCCGATTGATTGTTTTTTAAAAAAAATAGTCTGTATTATTTTTCAGTTTTGAAGGATTTCTACCTTAAATCTGCATAGTTTGGGATCATGCAATATCAATTGGTATATAACTAAAAGTCCATCAATTCTACTATGGTCTGCTAGACATGCAATCCTGTCATTCAGATTAAGCTAGATTATCTCTGTTGGTTTTCCATTTGTTGGTTGGGCTGCATCGTTCATCTTCAGCAGCAGCAGCAGCAGTATCCATGGAAACAGGATACTGAGATAGATGGTCCGTGTGAGCTAACATTTCTCATATTCTATTGCACTTCCAAACAAAAGTGGACAGCTACAGATGACTGCAGGTTACAAGCAGAACCATTCTGGTGCTCTAGCAAGCATTTTGCCTACAGTTATCCTCTTCTTAACCAGCAAAATGCCATGGTAAGTTCGGCAGGTCAGACCATCTGCAATCGCCCTACCAATGGCACCCAGGACCTGCTAATATGAACCCTAAAAAGCTTCATGCACCCTTCTTTCACACCTCTTCCTGCATGCTCCGGCAGCGGGTAATAGCCAGGTCCTTCTCTTGAAGCGCACTGCTGTAGCGCAAAGAGAGCCCATAAAGTTCATCTTTAAGTTTGAGCGCCTCATGGAAGTGAGCACTGAGTTCCCTCTTCATCCGGTTACACTCAGTTTCAATGCCCCGCAGGCTTTCGGCCTCAGCTTCCAGTCGGGCATTGTTTTCCTTGAGTCTGCGGCAGTGTTGAAGCAGGGACACCTTCTGGCGTTTCTCCTGGTTTAGCTCCTCTTGCAGGCTGCTAACTGCTTTGGCCAAGCATTCTGTCAGCTGGGAACTTTCAATCAGATCTAGAGAAAAGGAGAAAAAGCTTAGGCAGGTCTATGGAGATTCTCAGTCATCCAAGTTATGGTTGCCCCAAAAGTGCTTTTTCAAGAGGCAAATGGACTTTGTTTTTTTTTTCCTTGAAGACGTTTCGCTTTCCATCCAAGAAGCTTCTTTTGTTCTGACTTCAGAATTGAGGACAGTTCTAAAGTCAGAACTGAAGAAGCTTCTTGGATGGGCAGCAAAACATATTCAAGGAAAAAGCAAAATCCAATTGCTTTTTGAAAAAGCACCTTTGGGACAAAATGCTTAGAGTTCCCTCAACACCCAGACCTGAACACCATAAAGCTTCTACTTCAATCAGCAGAATGGTATCAAAGGCTCAGCTATGTATTATTTTTATTTACTGCACACTAAGAATATATTGTGCATAGGTAAAGGTAAAGGTTCCCCTTGCACTTAGGTGTTAGTTGTTCCCAATTCTAGGGGGCAGTGCTCATCTCCATTTAAAAGCCAAAGAGCCAGCATTGTCCGAAGATGTCTCCGTGGTCATGTCTTTTGCCTAGAAAAACAATCCAGGTAAGAATGGGTGAGGTAGGAAGGATGGAAAAAGCTCACCGCTAA